TTAGATAAAATCTCAAAGCTAACAGAAAGAGACTAGAGAGCATTTTTGATATATCTTCTCTCATTTTACAGATAAAAGAAGCCCACAAAGATTTTGCAAGGTCACACAGGTAGCTGGTGGCAAATCTGAGATTATAAACCAAGTTCACCCAAGTACATCTAGTTCTTTTTATTATTTACCCACCTTTTCTCAATACTTGCTGTGCTAGAACATATAAAACCATGTTATTTTTCTTGCTATTACTTTAAAAAATATGTTGTAATTTAGGCATTTAGCACATTAGTAATCATTGGATTATGTGATAGTAATCAACTGATGGGGCATATTAAATTAAAACATTTAAGTTGTTTGCTAGGAATCATATTCATGTAGTTCAAAAGTAATAGGCATTAAAAAGCATGCAGTGAAGGGTTTCCCTTCTGTCGCTGTATCTCAGTGACTTGTTCACCCCTAGAAAGCAGCCAGTGTTGTCTCAAGATATTTTGGGTATAATCAATTCAGAGAGACGCAGAAATTATAGTAAACTTTATGTCATGAAGACTAGTCTTATCAGTACAGAAAGTCCATTTCATTCTCTTCTGTGGTTGCATTGTACTCCGTGTATGGATGTGTCATTATTTAATTCTTCCCTACCGATATGTTGTTTATAGTTTTCAGTTGTTACCAGCAGTGCTTCAGTAAATAACCCTGCATATATTACATATGCAAATAAATATGTAGGATACATTCCTAAAGGTAGAATGACTTTTTTTAGGATTTTATAGATATTGCCCCATTATTCTCCATGGAGTTGTACAGGTGTACATTCCCATCATTATATGGGAATGACTACTTTATCCTCCCTTCACTAATGGTATATTGTCAATATTGAGATTGTTTAATATCTGAAAGGTAAAAAGTGGTATCTTGGTGTAGTTTTGATTTGCTTTTCCATTTATATGCATGAGCTAGGCATATTTTTATGTTTAAGATACTTGATTTACCTTTTCAGAGATTATTGTAGTATCATTTGCCTGTTTTCCTATTGAATTTTTCACTTACTGATTGTGGGAACTCTTTATATATTAGGGAAAGAGCCTTTGGTAGGAGCTATAAACTTTTCCCCAGTTTATCTTTAACCTTGCTCTTAAAGTTTTATTGGGTTTTTTTTGCCATGCCTAGTCTACGTTTTTGTAGCTGAATTATCAATTTTTCTAAATCACTTTTTTGATTTGTTTTATCCTTAGACAAGCAGGTCCCACTCTAAGATTATTTTTTTCAATCTCCCATATTTCCCATGGTATTTCTATGGTTTTACATTTATATATGATTCACTTGGAACTGATCCTGGTGTACAATGTGAGAATGGTTTCAATTTTATTTTTTTCCCCAGTTGAACATCATATTTTCCCAGTTCAGCATCATTTATGAAGTAATCTGTTTTTTCCTGCTGATTTATCCTTTTTTGTGTCTGAGAACATTTAAGTTCTACTCTCTTAGCAAATTTAAATCCTACAATACAGTGTTATCAACTATATTCATGGTGTTATACATTAGATCCTCAGACCTTACTCAACGTGTAACTGAAAGTTTGTACCCTTTTACCAACATCTCCCTATTTCTCCACTCCCTAGTCCCTGGCAACCACTTTTCTACTGTTCCTGTAAGTTTGACTTCTTTGTAAGATTCCATAAAATTGATACCATGCAGTATTTGTCTTTCCTGTGATATCATAATTTGTTTTCCATTTGTATTTATGTAATACCATATTCATATGCTCTCTTTTCCTCATATTGCTGACAAATTGCCTTCCCCATGTATATAGTACCAGAAAGTTGTTGATAAATTCTAAAATAATGAGGCATGAGTTCAGCCAAGATTGTGGGGATAGTATTCCTATAATAATCAATTAATGTGCTTTTCTAGACAAGTGAAATCTGATGAATGAGACCATCTTTTACATGTAGATGCTGAAGTGGTGAATGCCCAGTTTTCTCTTGGGCCATGTAAGGCAGAGAGCTCTGTGAGCTGAGGGAGGTGTCCTTAATACCATGTACCACGTGTATGTTGAACTTAATGGAGAATAGAATGAGAATTTCGAAGGTCTATGGTTTTTATGCTCTGAATTAACTGTAGTTTCTTAATATATAGGAAATTGAACTTTTACAAGTTAAACTACTGAAGAAAACACAGTTTTTCTTTTTTACTAGGTAGATCATAGTTTTATGAAAATGATTTTCTAATGGGTTTTTTTTTTTTGCATTGGACCTCTTGACAAGGAGTGAAATCTGTATACTGCATTACCTCTGAGCTGTCTCTTAAAGGGATCAAGGACAGACATATGTATAATGGTTTAAAAAATATATATATGGTCTTTCGAGTCATAGAAATCTTCTGATTCAAGAGGTGCTTTTCCCCCTTTCCAAGAAATGTAGGGTTATATACTCATACTGAAAGTACCAAGGCAAAATACATGGTGTCTGACACTAAAAAAAAAAAAAAAAACCACTCTACTTTTCTTGAGTACTATAGCCCTGTGATCGGAGTGACTTACAGTCAAAGCTAGATGTTGACTTACTGTGTCACCTCCTAGCCACCAAGTCCTGCAACTAAGCATAGTTCTTTGGTAAACTTACAGAAGAGATGCTGTTTGTTAAGATTCTTTCTTCTATTTTAGTACCTATAGTTCATCCAGAAAAATGGCTGTTACTTGCTTTTCTCACATACTCTCATGTTTGTCTATTTGTGTATATATGTGTACATAGGGAAAAGTACATACTTACAGTTTCACTGTAGAAACAATTATCCAGCCCCCACCCCAACCCTGGACTTGGCCTGATATCTGGCAGTTGGTCTGAGTCCATACTAGGGAAGCTTTGCCACTTTCTGGTTTATGCACACATAAAGGTCTGCAGTTCAGATTTTATGGAGCTCTGTTAGGAAAGGCCACTGCCAATACAGGATTAGTTTGCAAAGTGTTCTTTGGCTGTAAACAGATCTATAGCCATCTTTTACAAAGCGTGCAAATATAAGCTTGTTCAATCTTGCTTTGATAGAACTTACAGACAATAATGTAAAGATTGCAAATATCTGCATAGTCAAATTTTTTATAAGTGGTCTAATTAGTATTGTGATAGTGCTTGTGTCAGATGTCATCCATGGAGATAATTACATTTTTATGAAATGGAAAATTGTGGAATGCTTGCTAAAGAATCCTTGGTTAAATATAAGTCCTTCAAAGGCAAAGACTATTTTTTACTTATCTTTGTATCGCTGGCACAGAGTCTGGTATAGAAGAGGCACTTAATTCTTATTGAATGAATAAATGGGTGAATGAAACTCATTCCTTAGAAAGATCATTTGAAATGAAGAGATTAAAATGTTCCCTAGAAGGAAAGAAAGTACATGAATGCCTGTAATGACTGCTTCACTTTATTGAGAAAAAAATGTATTATTTTTGTGTTTTTTGAAACATGTACACTTAAAAATTACACTGCTCATTTAAAAAAATGGATGCACATTTTTATTGCCACATTAATTTTGATGTGATTTCCAAAAAGCAGCCTCTTGAATTAAAGAAAAAGCAAGATCCCTACCAGCTTTTCTGACAATTATTGCCCAGCAGTTTAAAGAAGTAGCATGTAATACTTTTTATCCAGTGTGCATGTCTACATGTGCATGTAGTGCAGAACAATTCAGTGCCAGAGAGTCACTTGGTCCAGATTAATTAAGACAGGAGCAGAAAAACTTCCATTTTTCTTTCACTGACTTATTTCTGTACTGATAATTTTACTTAAATTACCTATCAGACAACATGCATATATGATGCTTATCTGTGGCCCTAATCATAAATAGATTTTATATTTACTTACGAGACAATGTGATTCTTTGTTTGCCTTGTTAGTGATATAACTAGGAATCACCATTTAAATTAATCTTGCATACCACTTTAGAGCACTGTGGCTAAATTAGCTGTGGCCAGAAGAAATCAAACACAGGAGACTTTAGGAACAAATTGTAGAATGCCACAAGGGCTGATAATGCATTTAAGATGTGCCATTTAAAGTGGAACATGCTTATTTGTATATTGCCATAGTGATTACCTGTTTTAAAAGCATCCCCAGATGTATCCCTACGATTTAGGTTATAACTATTAGACTCAAAGTTCTCAATTGCTTCGTTTAAGCAGGAGTTGTGCCTGAATATGAAAACTTTCTCAAAGGTAGTGGGTTTGAATTTTAAAGCTATCAAAGAGCCTATGGCTCAGGAAATTGAGTGCTTTGTCCAGTTTTGTGTCAGAGGCAAGTTTAGGGCTTTGGTTGTCTGACTCCCCAAATAGTGCTTTTTCCCACCACACAGTGTTTATAAAGCCATTTTTAAAAAATGTGTGATTCTGGAGCATTTTGATCCCAGGATGATTTTTAAATTTGATAATCAATCTGAGAACATTTAAGATTTGGAATGTACAGGACAGAGCAGGTGTCAAAAACTGTGGCCTGGACCAAATCCTGTCTGCTGGTTGTTTCTGTACATAGTTTTCCTGGCACACAGTCACACCCCTTTGTTTTGTATTTTCTATGGCACACAAGAGCAGAGTGAATAGTTGCAACAGAGATCACGTGACCTGCAACACCTAAAATATTTATTACCTGAGCCTTTATAGAAGAGATTTGCTGATCCTTAGTATAAGCTAAGAAGGAAAAAATTAGCTTAAAAAATGAACACTTAATTTGCAGTAGAGTGTAAGTAAAATATTCTTTCTGAAAAAGCTAAAAGGCTAGCATGTTGGTGAGAGAGAGGAATGATCTGTTTTAGAAGACTAGAAAGTTCTTGCATAAAAAATAGAATTGAGGTTTCTAGAGAATCTCTGAGTCCCTGGACTCTGATGTTTTGGTTACCAGAATGAAGCCTATAACTTAAACAGAACTGATTCAAGATGGGAAATGCTTCACAATTACCATTTATGTTGTGCTAACTCTAATAGAACTTGAACACTCATCAAATATTCTCCTTCTTGGCAGGTGGAGTGGATCCAACAGCAAGTGGTAAAAAAACGGACAAAGAGGGATTATGACTTCAGTCGTGCCCAAGCAACTTACTTCAATGATCCCAAGTGGCCAAGCATGTGGTATATGGTAAGGATGTCCAGCTTGGGGCCCTGTTGTGCAGGGGACATCTGTTGGGACAGAGAGGACACACAGCATGACCTCGGGGGCATTTTCCTGTTCAGGACCCATCATTTGATGGCCTATGATGTTTTCTGGATCTTTTTTGAAGTTAGCTCTGTGGTTCTAAGGAGAAAGAGAAGGGAGTTCCAATTCACAGAATTTCTGTTTGAGAGCTTGCTCTGTGTAGATTTCTAAATTTGGGCCAGAGGATAGAGAAATTAAGGCACACACACCCTTTGACCATATCAATAACCACGTGCACCTCTAATGCCCATTATCTCCACCTTGAGACCAGTCTGGTTCATGGATACTGACTCCAGGAAATCATTAAGTAACTGTTGGTAAGTAACAGATTCCTGACTTGAGTCATGGAATAGCTGCCTCCTCACTTTAGGTAATAGTTTTAAAAGTAGATGAGGAAAAAAAAAAAGAGCTGTAAAGTATTTGACTTGTAGCTAGTTCAGTGGTTCAAGCAAATCTTTCAGTGAAGGATATTTGTTAACATGTCGGGAAGAGGGCTCCCCTGTTTAGTTGGCATTGCCTTCTTTGAAAATATTCTTCTCTAATTTTAGGGTTTTATGTTCATGGTCACTGAGATACTGATTAGAAAATGTGACTTATTCTTGAGCTTGAAATCCATGTGTCACCAGTTTGCTCTGTAATCTACAAAACACCGTTACTTTTCTTGAAAAACGTTCTTGTTATTTATTGCCATGTGTTTTCCCCTCATCTAATTTTTTGCAGTCCATGTCCCTGCTTCTTTGCAAATGCATAACATTTAGCACCCCTGTCTCGTTCTTTCCTGAGTCCCTGCCTTTCATTCCTTCTGCCTGGATTGTTCCCACCTCCTGAGGCCAGGCCTCTCTCATCCTTCAGAGCCCATGCCTGAGGCTAACTGCTCCAGGTCCTGTCCTGTGTCCCCCTCTTTCAGCTTTTTACCTTCCTCAGCCCTCCTGGGCCCCCATCCCTTGCATTCTGCACTTGGCACTTTGTTACATAGTCATGTGTATTTTGTACAGTTTCCTCTGTTACAGTGGGGTGCTGGTAGGGGTCATTTATAACCCCCTGAGACCCTAATGGAGCACCTTACAATGCTAGGAATTTGTGTTTATTTGGAGATGGGTCAAAGCAACTGGCATTTCTTCCAATTTTCCTTTTCTTAGTCTTACTCAGAAGGGGAAGGGTGTAGAAATATTTTGGACCCAAACAGAATTTTACACAGAAAACTCTCTCATGCCTAAGGAAGAAAACATAGGATCCACAAAGCTAAGTTTAAAAAGTGGTGGGACTCGAAACAGCATTTGAGTGGAAATCACCGGAGAGGACAATAAGACACTTGACAGCTCGTTAGCTCCAAGGCCAAGGAGGAGTGAGCCCCAGGGAAGGTGCTGGAGTGCCTGCTGGCAGGGGCTAAGGAGCTTTGTCTGCGCTGGCCAAGTGTACAAACATAATGGAATTAAGAGAGAGAGGATGGAGGCAGAACCCCTCTCCACCCCTGCTTATAAGGCCATGGAGAGGGAGATCCCTCCTTGACTATGTCTCTTCTCATCAGAAAGAGCCTGACTGCTGTCTGCATACATCTCACTGGGCAGTGGATGTATGTGGCAGCTGTCCCCCGTCCTCTCCTACCTGTGGCAGGGGAACCATGGCCGAGGCATTAGCACCTTGGCCAGCCTGGTGACTCTAAAGCTTTTAGTGCAGAGAAGGCTCTCCCCGTTCCCCAGAACCACTGCTGTGTCTTCAGAAATTCTCCTTCCATGTAAGGAAGGGTGGAGAGCAAAGCATCTGTTTGGGCTTTTTAAATGTTGGATATTTTTCAACACATAATTGATGACGATAATTCAAATAGGTAACAGTTTATGTAGCACTTGCTAGGTGATGTGTTAAGTATGAGAGTATTTTTGTAATTCAGGGTGGACAAAAAAAACATGTGTGTGAATATTGGCCCTGTTATGAGTGATAAATGTATAGCTCATAAAATTTAGGTAACTTGCCTAAAATCACCCAGCCCTGAAGGCAGAGCTTTCAAACCAGGCAGGTTAATGCAAGTTTGCAGGATTAACTCATTCCCAACCCTTCTACAATGTACAAGCACTACTATAAGAGAGAGATTACTCCAGCCCTCCAGGAACATCTGGTCTATCCATGGAGAAATAGCTGAAATACAGGTGCCATGTAGGAGGAACAAAGTTACGGTGGGACAATCAAAAGTGCTTCAGAGCTTCCTATTACCTAATTATTTTCCCTTAACCAAGTGTTGGGAAGTAGATTGCGCACCTTACATTTATCTATCAGAAGTAGAAAGGCAGAATGAGAGCTAGAACTTCAGTCTGCAAACCTGGGCTCAAATTGCCATTGCTTCATTGATTATGTCCATGATTGAATCACTTCAGCTCTCCTCAACTGTAAAATAAGAGCAGCGCTGATGTATGAGTTAGCTACTGCTGCATAACAAGCTGCAGAACCTAATTATTAAAACAGCAGTTGTCCCATGGGTTCTGTGAGTCCAGCATTCAGACAGGGCCCAGCAGTGATAACTTACCTCTTCTGCAGTATCTGGGGCTTCATCTGGAAGACTCATGGCTTGGCTGGAGCTGGAGGTTCCAAGGTGACCTGGTCACATGGCTGGTTCCTCTCCACTTGGGCCTCACCATAGGGCTGCACGAATGTCCTGGCTTCCCTCAGGGCAAGGGATCCAAGAGGTCATGTTAGAGGTCATGATGTATTTTATCATCTAAACTCAGAAATCACAGACAATAACTTCTGGAATTTTCTATTGGTGCCACTGGCCAGCTCGGATTCAGTCCCCCTCTCACTACAGGGGTGTGCATACTAGGAGGTGAGGGTCAGTAGGAGGCTGGTTACCACGATGAAATGAAAAGCCTTTAGTGCAGTGCCTGACCCTAGAAAACATTCCGTAAATCTTTATTGTTGTTATTCTCTGACTTTTTAATTACAGTATGCGCTTTTTCCTTTTTATCTGTTAAAAAATTGCTACTGGTCAAGGGAGAGTGGGATTGCATGTCCAGCGGGCATTCTTGAGAGCACTCTGGTGACGTCAGGGGCATAACTGAAGCAAGGCAATTGCCGTCCTTTTGCGGAGCCCTGGGCCCTGCTGCAGTGTGTTTGAGGGCTGCTTGGCGAGCCTCCAGAGGGTCCCGCCTTCAGCTCGTTAGTCTGGGCCCGCTGCTGTCACTCTGTATTTACCACAGCAGAATGGAGATTAAAGAATGGCATGAAGTGTGCCTGAGTGTCTCTTTTAATTAATTTAAAAGCTTTGCCCCTGTTGCTCCTCCCCTTGGAAACTGGTATGTGAGACCATTATGTTTAGCCTTGAGTCTTGGGCAATATATGCAGGGAAACATGCATTTATGAGTTGTTACAGAGTTGACGGCTGTATAATTACTCCTCTGTGCTGAAACACTGTGCTCAGGCTTCCAGGAGCTGGGAGGGCCCGGTCCTAGGAACAGGGCTCCCTTCTTGTTGCGTTGTCAAACTCTCCTGTATATGGGGTGTCTGGCGTGGTGGCAAGCACTGAGGATTAGGAAAACATGATTCACACTTCCTAAGAAGATCAGTAAAGCAGTGGAATATATAAGCACTAACAAGCTTGCTGGGCAAAGGGCCCCTCCCCAGAAGTTTCTCCAGGATCATCTGCATATATCCAGCCACTGTTCCTTGGCCTTTGGGCTGTAATTCTTGCTTTTGGGTTTGCTCCTTCCATTAGAATCTTCTGGTTAGCTTTTAAAAACGTATCTGAACTTGGGCCCTGCTATCAGATAATTTTTTTATTTTTTGATGAGTGGGACTCAGGCAATGGGATTTCACCCGTGTTTCCTGGGTAATTCTAATGTCCTGCCTGGACCACAAAGTGCTGCAGCAAGGAATCTTATGTTACTCAGGCCTAAGTCTGGTATGTGGTAAATGCTGAATAAATGCTAATTGAATAAACAGATGAGTAAACTGGAATAAACAAATCTGGTAATCTCATAGCAGAGAAAATGATTGCTCACATTTATTGAGTGCTTAGTATATGTCAAGCATTTTGCCACTTTTCCATGTATTGTCTTATTGCCAGTGTTCCAGTGAGTTAGGAACTATTGTTATCTTCATTTTACAGATGAGGAAATTAATTCATAGACAAGTTAAGTAGTTTGTCCAAAGTCACACCATTTATCAGGGGAAGACCCTGGTATTCAAACTCGGTCACTCTTACCCACAGGCTAGACTTCCAGCTTCTACATCTGTCGCTCCCTAGCTAGCAGGCATCTGAATCATCCAGAAAGATTGCTGAGATCTCTGTGGAAAATAGAAAATCTGGGAATTTGCATTTCTAACAAGTTACCAATTGATGCTGATTCTGGGGCCCAGGGACCCTTTGGAGATCTCACTGCTTTACCAAACTTTAACTATGAGGTTTATATGAACACAGCTTCTAGCTATCCATTATCAGCTGGGGACAAAGAGTTTTTAAACATATGGGACATTTTAAAGCATACTTGGTCAATTTAACTTGTTATTCTTGATCTTATACCTTTTTCTTATTGGCAAAATTTTCTATTTGGAAAGCTGGCAGCATTAATCTGAGAAGATATTTTCACTTTACTTGCACTGATTGAAAATACTCTTGCCTTATGTATTCTTTCAAGATGCTCCACAGACAAAGGATATCTGAGAGGAAGGTCATGTAGGTCATGAAGATTTGGCCAAGTCTTTGGGAACTCAGTGTAACAGAAATAGTTTTAATGTACCCAGCTGGTAGAATGGGCCATTTACACTCTACTCAAGAAAAGCTCAGGTTGCCTCTAGAGACAGCAAGGCTAGGTAAGACACCTTATCAATGGTCTGGGGATGCTGATTAAGTTAAACATTTTACAAATTATTATCAAATGTTTAAGAAATACAAAAAGTTTAAAGACTACCTCAAATGCTTTTTGAAGTCATCATAAAGCGCCCATTTGTAAATG